AAAACATTCTCTGACATAAATCACAGCAGTGTTTTCTTAGGTCTCCCAGGCAATAGAAATAAAAGCAAAAATAAACAAATCAGACTTAATCAAACTTATTAGCTTTTGCACAGCAAAGGAAACCATAAACAAAATGAAAAGACAACCTATGGATTGGAAGAAGGTATTTGCAAATGATGTGACAGACAGGGGCTTAATTTCCAAAATATACAAACAGCTCATACAACTCAATCACACACACACACACACACACACACACACAAATCATAAAAAATAATGGGCAGAAGATCCAAACAGACATTTCTCCAAAGAAGATATACAGATGGCCAACAGGCACATGACAAGGTACTCAACACTGCTAATTATTAGAATGGGAACCCTTCTATACTGTTAGTGGGAATGTAAATTGATACTGCCACTAAGGAGAACAGTATGGAGGGTTCTTTAAAAACTAAAAACAGAACTACCATATGATCCAGCAATCCCACTCTTGGCCATACATCTGAAAAAGACATACTCTAATTTCAAAAGATATACGCACCCCAATGTTCACAGCAGTATTGTCTACAATAGCCAAGACATGGAAGAAACCTAAATGCCCATCAACAGAGAAATGGATAAAGAAGATGGGATATATAAATACAACTGAATATTACTTGGCCATAAAAAAGAATGAAGTGATGTCATTCGCAGTAACATGGATGGACCTACAGATTACCTCACTAAGTGAAGTAAGTCAGGCAGAAATAAATATTATACCATTCATATGTGGAGTATAAGAAGTGCAAACCAACTTATTTACAAAATAAAAACAGACTCACAGACATAGAAAACAACTTATGATTACCAAAGTGGAAGCACGTGAAGGGATAAATTGGGAGTATGGGATTAACAAATGCAAATTACCATGTATAAAATAAACAACAAGAATTTACTGTATAGCACAGGGAACTATATTCAATATCCTGTAATAGACTATAATGGAAAAGAACTGGAAAAAAATGTATACACAGGTATAAACAGATCACTTTGCTGTTCACCTGAAACTAATGCAATATTGTAAATCAACTATATTTCAGTAAAAATGACGATGAAATGGTGAAGATTTGGCACAAACATTTCAACAAAATGCTTTTATAAAAGAATGTTATTGATCGAAGGAAGAGCTGGGGGGGGGGGCACAGGGAAGTGTTGGGAAAGGGAACACCATGTGAAGAGGTGATGGTACAGATGACTACTGAGGTTCAGAACTCTTGAAATTACTGTGACAAACCTGTGAGGCATACTGGGGTTGGACTGGAATGACTCTTGGAAGATGGTGGGCAAACAGTTTCAGGATTGTGATGGAGGGTGCGTTCCTTATTTCTGATTGTGGCCCTGGAGGTGATACACTGGGACCTGCCCTCTTACCCACAATGAAGGGGTGTTCCCCCTGTCCCAGGTCAGTTCCTTAGAGCCCAGCAGGTAACCCAAATCTTTAGAGATTCAGTACTTAATGGTTCTGTTATTTCATATCTAAATCAATTAGGATCACACAGTCAGTCAGTTCAATCGCTCAGTCATGTCCAACTCTTTGCAACCCCATGAACCGCAGCACACCAGGCCTCCCTGTCCATCACCAACTCCCAGAGTCCACCCAAACCCATGTCCATTGAGTCAGTGATGCCATCCAACCATCTCATCCTCTGTTGTCCCTTCTCCTCCTGCCCTCAATCTTTCCCAACATCACGGTCTTTTCAAGTGAGTCAGCTCTTCCCATCAGGGGGCCAAAATACTGGAGTTTTAGCTTCATCATCAGTCCTTCCAATGAACACCCAGGACTGATTTCCTTTAGGACGGACTGGTAGGATCTCCTTGTAATCCAAGGGACTCTCAAGAGTCTTCTCCAACACCACAGTTCAAAAGCATCATTTCTTCTGTGCTCAGCTTTCTTTATAGTCCAACTCTCACATCCACACACGACTACTGGAAAAACCATAGCCTTGACTAGACAGACCTTTGTTGACAAAGTAGTCTTTGCTTTTTAATATGCTGTCTAGGTTGGTCATAACTTTCCTCCCAAGGAGTAAGCGTCTTTTTAATTTCATGGCTGCAATCACCATCTGCAGTGATTTTGGAGCCCAAAAATCACTGATAGAGAAAATTGTTGGGGGTGAAAAACACGGAAATAAATCTGAGAAAACCACCTAGAACGAAGGTTCTTTTTTCAAGATCACCATACCATCCTTTTTTGCCTTATGGTTTCTAATCTTCCCCTTACTTCTCTGAACATTTTTTTCCCATTTATTTTCTCTAAACATTTTAAACATACTTCTTTTAAATTCAGATTCTTCTGTTACAGTTCTTGGGAGTGCAGATTCTTCTACTGGTTGCATCTGTTAAGTTTCTTCTCCTTCATGGTGGTTTGCTTCTTTTTTTTTCTTTCTCTTCTCCTTTGTTTGAGGGTGTTTTCCCTGTATGCTCATTTCAACAGGACTTGTCTTCCCAAAGGTTCCTTTGTGAAAACTTGGTTAAAAGAATATCCTTACTGAACAGTTTTGTGTTTGCTTAGAAGGTCCCTACTATAGTCCAGGACCGGCTTTTTGTTAATTTTTCATCTTGACATTGTAGTAACCCTTGGGTACTGTGAATCTGGACCACATTCTCACAAATGGCAAATATATTAGTTTGTTTGTAGATGAGCCTTTCTACTTATAACCCTGAGTGATGTTAGACTTTCTTGTATTTCCGTACTGATCTCCAGGTTAAGGAGCAGTGTTTTTTTGATCCTCATTTCACAGGGAAGTGGCCCTTTGAGACTCCTGTTTCAGTAGTGAAGGCTCAGCACTCAGCCAAGAGGTGGGTCCCCAGTCTCAATGAACTCTTTGACCTTGACTCTCACACATCCTCTGACTTTTGGGTTCCCGTTCATTTCTGGCACCTTGGGACTTCCCATTTTCAGTTTCAAGTTCAGTTGTGTGTCAAAAATTTTTTTGGCTACATAATATTCAATATTTCTATATTTGATGTGGGAAGGAAGTTTGCCCAGGACTACTCTGTTGTCTATTGGTTAGAAGTCACCCCAAAACATTCTGCATACTGCAATGAAAAGGTTCTTTTAAAAATACCAATATGGCTGTTTCATTCCCTTATTATGGCATTCAAGGCACTGTGAAGTCAGGATATTTGCCTCTCTAGCATTTCCCACCACTTTCTCCTTTTCTCCACAGTCACATACAGGCTTTGCAGTCCAGAAACAGATACCAATGCATCTCTTCCCATTCTCTTATAATTCTATTTAGGGTATACAGTGATAGTAGTTATATTTACTTATCCTCTAGTTTGCACACTCTCCAGATGGAATTGAAGTAACTGACAGACTACTACTCTTATCTCCTAGACCCAGAAAACAGTAGTTCTGAATTGTATATTAATTATATAGGTTCTTTCCAAGAATCTGATATGTCTTTTCATTTGTCAGATCATGTTCTATGATTTTTCTTTTTTGTTAAATTTATTTTTAGTATTTTATAACTGTGAACAGGTAATACATTAATAAGGTTCAAAATTTAATTTAAAATTATAAAAAATACAGTTAATTTACCCTTCCATTGCTCTTTCCTCTCTATCCAATTATTCTCTCTTCCAGAGTTACTTTATGTATATACGAGCAAATACATATACCTATTTATTTCAACTGTTAACGGAATACTTTTGTTGTTTCTAGTTGATTACTGCTGGAATAGAAAAAGGCTATTGATTTTTGTACATTTATCTTTTATTCAGACACTTACCAAATTTCCACAATAATGCTAATAGGTTTTACTTAGAGCCTCTTAGATTTCCTAAACACACAGTCACATATCAGCAAAACAATTTATTATTTTCCAATACATATACCAATTATTCACTTTTTTTGCCTAATTATTTTCAACTGAATTTTCAAATGTTGACTCTTATTTCAGACCTTACTATTGGTTTTCAATGAACAGCTTCTTTTCCTTTAACGTGGAGGTTTATCAAATCATACTTAAAGCTGTAAAATTTTGTCAAATGCTTTTTCAGTACATAGTGATAAAATGTTTTTCATTAAAAAAAATTAATTCTGAAATAATTTTAGACTTACAGAAAAGTTGCAGAAACAATACAAAGAATTCCTGTATACCCTTCACTCAGATTTCCTCAATGACAAGACTTGTGTTTAATCAATCATTCTGTAATTTTTTAATGAGTGTAGGTGGCTCTGTGGTAAAGAATCTGGCTGCCCATGCAGGAGACTTGGGTTTGATCCTTGGATCAGGAAGATCCCCCGGTGAAGGGAATGGCAACCCATTCTAGTATTCTTGCCTGGAAAATTCCATGGACAGAGGAGCCTGGCAGGCTATAGTCGTTTCCAAAGAGTTGGAAACAACTGAACAACTTAGCACACACACTTGTATACATACATATGTGTGTGTGTATGTGTATAATTTAGTTTCTTGAAACATTTGCCAATTGTCTTTATCTTTAAATATTTCAATGTTATATTTTCTAAAAACAAGGATACCTTCATAAGAAATATTATCAAAATAAGAAAATGTTAATCTATATTTAAATAATATTCATGTTCTTTAGATTAATATATTGGATTATATTAGTAAATTTCCGGATATAGAGGCTTGTATTGCTGAAATAAGCCTTATGTAATCATGTTGTAAAGTTCAACTTAATTTTATTTGGAATTTTTGCACCTATAGTCATAAATGAGATTACGCTATGGCATTCTTTTTTGGCAGTTTATTGGGTTCTTTTGGTAATTAATTGGCTTATTCAAACTATATCTTGGGTCAGTATTTTCTAGGAAATGATCTATCTGCTGTTTTCAAAATTGTGGCTACAGACTTATCCTAAATTTATGTAAAACTTTTCCATATATGTGATTATGTCTGATCTCGTCCCCCTCTACTTTCCCCCTTTATCAGGCTGAGAAGATTTTATCTATTTTATTGGTGTTTTCAAAAAGAATCATTTTCTACTTATCCTTTTTTTTTTTTTTTTGCATTCCTACTTAACTTCAGGTTTTATCTTTTCTCCTATGGTTTAAATTTTTTTTTTTTCTAAATTCCTAAAACAATCACTATGCACCTTTGAATTTTTCCTTTTGAACAATGAAGATATTTCACTTCCAAGTCCAGCCTCATGTATTTCTAGATACTCAGTAAGGTATCTGGGGTCTTACTTTGCCCTATCTACTCAAGTTCTGCTGCCTGGCCACAAGCACATGACAGATGTTCACTCCATGAACATAGGATACTGTTGTGTCCTGGGCCTCACTGTGAAGATCTGTGCTTGCTGCAGGGCCCACCCATCCATCCAAACACCTGTAGCAGCCATCATGTGATTGCTCTGTGCCAACTTCTATGAACAGGACAGTGAGTAGAATTGGGTATCTGCCCTTCTGGATCTTACACTCTAATGACAAAGGCAAACACAGAACAAGTAATGCAACTGAGCTGAATACTGTCGAGGATGCTACGATAGTATAAGGCAGGGGTCCAACATCACCTACAAGGTCTAGCTGAGTCTCTAGAAGTGATCCTCAAGCTTCTCAGAATCGGAGGGTCTACTCTGTCCCTTATTCTCTTCTCAGAAAGGTGGTCATTGGGTTTTCCTGTATAAAAGCTATCTGGTTTTCAGTTACATGTTTGCTGGTCCTGGCCACAGCTGACTAAACCAAGAGACCGACAGCTGGGGCATAAGAACTTTAACCAACAGGAGTGCTCCATATAGGATGGTCACTGACTGACTTAATTAGAGCCTCTATGGGAGTCTGAACAGAAAACAGAATGAGAGAAGAAACAGAGATAGCAGGAGAGGAAGAAGCAGAGAATGAACAGTAAAGTGCTAGTAATAACAGTAAGTCACAGGCCCTGTGGTATTGGGTTATAACTGTAGGCATCAGTATGGACTCATGGTTTATAATAATATACAGATGGACAGATACAATAATAAATTCAATTGTGTGTGATACATATGTTAACATATACATATATATTTATTTCCTAGCTTTGTGTGCTAAAAAGGCCTAGAAGCAATGACACTCCAGAAGCACTGAATATACCACCTTAGTTTCTAAGTACCATTCTCAAATAAGAGGAATCAGGAGTTGCTTAGAGGAATGGCTGAAGTCAGGGCTGGGACAAGAAAAGTGTAAGTAACCTTGGAACACCTTGTGGTGCCAGAAAATAGGGTAATACTAAAAAAATGATGGGGCAACACTGAAACAACACAGGAGCCAACTTAAGAGCTCCCAATGGCCAAATCTAGACCATATGAGCAATGAAATAAACTCTATTAGTATTATTAATAGGTAACAACCCATAGACTAAAACAAATATTCATTAGTTTTACTTATAGGTAAATTATTGAATAAATAAATGGGAGAAAAGAGAAAGTTGTTCCTTACAGAAGAATACCAATTAATACATATAGATGGAATAAGAAAACAATGTCATCATTAGGCAAATATAGTATTAATGTTTGTTAAAAGCAAGAGCCGGTTGGGAAGATCCCCTGGAGAAGGAAATGGCAACCCACTCCAGTATTCTTGCTTGGAGAATCCCAAGGACACAGGAGCCTGGTGGGTTACAGTCACAAAGAGCTGGACATGACTGAGTGACTAACGTGTTTACATTTACATGACGGATGCTAAAATCAACGGGCAAAATTTTATGGATAAATAAGACATTTGTACAGTTTCTATCTTTCCATGAGATTCTTATTCATTTCAAAGGGAAAATTAGTAATCTTACAGTGGAAAAACTGGTATACACAACCTCAGCATGTATCACCTGCTCTAGGTTATAAGGATGGGCACAGCATCACTTGAGGGCTAGTTTTACCCAAAATGGTGACCCTCAATCTAAGCATGTGAAAACAGCAGACAAACCCAAATTAAAGCAGTTAAATTCTACAAATTTAACTGACCTGGAGGTTTCAAAAGTGTCAAGGTCATAAAAGGCAAAGAAGGATGGAAGAACTGTCACAGGTTGAAGGAGATAAAGGAAACACAACAAGATGCAACACGGGATCCTCGACTGGATTCTGGACCAGGAAAAGGACATCAGTGGGGAAAATGGCAAAATCTGAATGCCTAGAGATTAGCTAGTAGTACCATATCATGTTAATTTCCTGGTTTTAATAATTATAATTTAATAATTTTTAACAGATGGTTGGTGAAGTTGGTGAAGGGTGCATGGAACTCTACTATTGTGGTTATTTCCTCTAAGTCTAAAATTATTTCAGAACAAGAAGTAAAAAAAAAAAAAAAAACTGCTGCTAATAAATAAACAAAGAGTGGCAGTCGCTGAGGTACAAAGTGGCAGACAGCTCCTTGAGGGGCTGGATGGTGCCTGCTGCAGCATCTGCTGAAGCCCAAGTTCCAGCTTCCGGCTGCGCCCCACCTGCCGTGTCATGACATTCCTCCGTCACCCGAGGGACTGTGATTCCTGTCCCCATTTTCTGCTTCCTAGAAGAGACTTTCTGACTCCAAAGGAGGGTTTCCAAAGCGACCCTTCAGGGGAGGCTGATGGCATGGTCCTCAATGGTGGCTACTGCAGATGGTTCCCAAGGATGTATGTACCAAGCCTTTCTGTGCCCTGCTAATTAAGCTGAGGCTGAACACGCCTGGTGTGTGGAGAGCCTTGGGGGATGGTGTGCAGTCCCTCTGTTTAGTGACTAACGTGCAGACTTCATGAGGCAGCTGTCCATCCCATGTTCACATGGTACTGTGGACATGGGGCAGACGCAGACTCCATGGCCATCTGCGTACAGCCTGACCCCAGGATCCCTACCCCTACAGTTCTCCACTGTCTATGTTGTTGGTCTCCTGCAGGAGGCCTCGCAGAGTTAAGCTTGCTTGGTCATTTGGTGCTTCTGTCCAGGCCCTGTGTAGGGTTGGGTAGGACCCAGCCTTCTTCCTAAAGATGCCCTATGCTGGCCTAGTTCTAAGGCTGGAGAGACGTGGTCTGGTCTGACCCCTGAACGTGGGGCAGGGAGGAATAGTAGCCATGACACGGCAGTGGAAGGGGGAAGGGTTCCGAGAGTCCCTTCCCCTTGGAATTCTAGGGCATGGGAAAGAGGAAGCAATGGCTTAAATGCAGAAGCTCTGTGTCTGGGCCTCTGACTTCTCTGCTCCCTGTGGAGACATTCTGGGGACTCAGTAGCATGAGAGCCAGCAGAGGGTAGCAGGTCACAGCCTGGTCCCTGTCTTGTTCCAGCCAGATCTGTTCTCAGCTGCCATACTTCTGAGTTTCCAGCAAACATGATAAAGTTCCAGAGGCTCTGGGACATGAGGATCACACTGAAGGACAGAGATGAGGGACCTCCCTCTTCTCCCTGCCGTAAAGCGGACAGAGGAGCAGCTCCCCTCCCAGAGACCTGAGAGCACATGTGGGGCCCACAACGAAGGGGTGAGGGTGGGGCTGAGAAGGCATCTTCCAGGGGCTGTGAGGAGGTAACAGGCCTTACGCTAGATAGAGAGGGGTGAGAAGCAGGAGGGGAAGGTAGGTCGGTCACCATGCCACAGCCAAGGGGGCTTTATTAGGTGTTGAGGGCACGTATGGGCGGGTAGTTAGACGCTAGAGGGTGTGGCACACCTTCTCAGGGTGGAGTGGTGCCTGGATGTCCAATTTGTGGGTCTTGCTGTCCTTATCGATGATCTCCAGCCGCAGCTTGGGGGGACGCCTCTCGGCCTGGGGTGAGGGCAGTTCAGGACTCTTCAGCAGCTGCTTATCCGAGTCCTCCACAGTGATGCGCAGGGTGCAGCCCCCTGGCAGCAGGTCCTGCTCATAGGCGGCCGCCAGCTGGTTCACCACACGGCGCTCCACCTGCAGGCGGTACGGGAAGCTGTCATCATTGCCAAAGCCTGGAGGCCCAGCTTTGTCGCTTGCCTGGGCAAGTACTTACTCAAAGCTTCAGTTTTTTCATCTGCAAAGGGCTAACAACATGAGCTTGCAGGACAGTACTAACAAGTCAGTACTGTCAGTTCTGAGGTTTCCAGCCCCAGTTCCCTGACGCTGGTAGGGATTCAATCTCATTTACCCTCTTGGACAGGGGTTTTACTTGATTATATTGTTTTTGGTTCTGAAGGGGCGTGTGCTCTGGGTAAGGACAATCCCAGCCTGCCTGGACAGGCTGGGAGCCCAGCGAATGGGTCTAGGGGCACCAGGGAAGGAGGTGTGGAGGTGCCTCACTTCTCTCAGGGCTCACCTCATGCTTGATGGAGCGGGCACCATAGTGCACGTTGTAGCCTTCGACCAACACGTCCGCCACCTCGCGGTCCCAGAGCAGTGTGATGTTGTGCCTTTGCTTTGCCTGGGACAGGTCAGACAGCAGCATGTCTGCATGTGGCCCAGGGCTTTCCAGATGTTCCGCCCCCACCCATGGGCAGTTCCTGCTCTTACTCTCTTGGCCCAGAAATTCAACTCCTTGTTGACGAGCTGGATGAGCTCCGAGTGGCAGAAGGGGAGGAAGTAGACGATCTCATTGATTCGTCCCAAAAACTCATCTCTCCGGAAGTGAGCCTGTGGGGCCAGGTTAGGGATAAGGTGAGCTTAGTGACCCAGAGTGGGTAAAGGAATTAGTAGACCCTACTGGGTAAGATAGGGGTGGAAGGGCTTCCACATCTTCACAATGGCTAAGGTGATCCCCTCCAATTCGAGGCTCCAGCAAGAAGGACAAGGAACTCTTACTTTTAGGATGGGGCGAATCACGTTTTCCTTGAAGTTCTTTGAGATGGTGATCTTGTCACTGATCTGGACGTCCCCTGTGGAGAGAGAAACATAAACTGCCTGCTCCCTACACCTGGGACCTCTGGGAGCTGTGCTGCACTGTGGCTCCATGAAAAGAGCCTGGTCTTGCCCCTGACAGTCTGCGTGATCCTGGTCAACATCTCAGGCCCTCTGGGCTTTGGCCTTTTCATCACCTGCACAATCAGAGGGCTGGATTGCGTACTTTCCAGGCCCTTCCAGTGCTCACGTTCGGTAGGAATTGTATGAAGGAGGGGAGGGGAGAGGAGAAGAGTCAGGACCGAGACTTGAGTCCCAACTTGTAAGAAGGGGGCTTGAGAGTTCAATCCTAGACAGAGGGCTGACAGATGCAGTGTCCACCCTGACACACTCCCCCTTCCAGCACTTTCCAGGGCCCACCTGTGCAGGAAGCCTCCCTGGCTGAAAAAGGCCATGCCCACCTCCAGGTTTCTGACCTACCATCCCCTTGCTGCACTGTAAGTGTCCCTCCCTGTTAAGTGCACATCCTTTCAGTCCCCTGAGACCCTGGCCTCTTCCTGGCCCCACACCTTTGGGTGGCTCTGTCCCTCCTTCTGTCTGGAGACCTCCTGTCACCTGAGAGGCCTGGGGCTTTCTTGAGGAAATAGGGACACTGTCTGTTGGCCTCCCTCCACTACCCAGTTGGGTGCTTGGTGTCTGGTCAGGGCCAGTGAGGGACAGATGCCAGCCAGGACCCTCATCTTCCCCTGGGACTGCAATGCCATCCTTCTCCCCAGAGTGGTGTGGCAGCCGTGTCACTTGACTGTTTGCCCAGAGAGTGTGGGCCACGTGCCATACCAAGGTTCTCGGCGATCCGGTTACGGCTCATCTCCAAAGCTTCCTGCCTCAGCTGCAGGGCATGCTGTGCTATCTCGTCACTGGCTACGTTCGAGGTCATAATGAAGATGGCGTCCTTGCAGTCGATGGTCTTGCCTTTTCCATCTGTCAGCCGGCCCTGGGAAGGAAGAGCGGCTGCGTGGTCAGGGAGCGGTAAGGCTGGGCACCTCTTCCAGGAGGTCTCTCCAGAACCCTCTCCCCCTGGCAGTCAGCGCTCCCTCCTCTGGGGTCTCTGAGCACTGTTCTCACACCTGGGTTTCAGTGTTCACCTGCTGGGAGAGCCACCAGGTGAGACTGCATCTACTGCCTGGCATCTCTCAGGGCACCTAGAAGCCAGCCTGACCGTACAAGCAGCCATCCAACACACTCTCCTGGAGGCCTGCTGTGGGTGGAGCTCTGGGGCACTGGGGACTCACTGAGGCTGACACGCTCCAGTCTAGAGGAGTGAGGCCAGGAAACAAGCAGTCAGAATTCAGAGGGTTAGGCATTATGACAAAGGGTAGGTCAGGCTGCTATGGGAGGTCAGAGCATATTCTACAGGGCCACTGTGAAGACCAGATAAATGAATTGAAACAGGTATAATCTCTGCATCTTTGGAGCCATCCTCTGGCCTAGGATAAAAAATAATGTTCTTCCTTTAATCAACAAGGGAAGTTGCCTTGGAATCTTTCATTTTTTTTCTAGAAGTGACAGAGAAGAAACCATCTTTACTAGAGGCAAATGCACCAAGGAAAGAGAAAAGGGGCAACAGTAGAGGGAAGAGACAGAAGAACTAGAAAAGTGTAGTTGTCCGGGGCCGTTCAGTTTAAGGGTGAGGAACTCTGCCCACTCAGCAAACCTCAAGGCTCTCATGGTACAACAGCACTTTGCAGTCATTTGTAAAGAAGCACAGGGGCTTTCCTGGTGGCTCAGTGGTAAAGAATCCGCCTGCCAACACAGGAGATGTGAGTTTGATCTGGGTTGGGAAGATCCCTTGGAAAGAAAATGGCAACCCACTCGAGTATTCTTGCCTGGGAAATCCCATGGACAGAGAGCCTGGTGGGCTACAGTCTACAGGGCTGCAAAAGTGTTGGACACGACTTGGCAACTAAAGAACAACAGTGACATATAAAAGCAATAATCAGTGCCCTGCTGAGAGGAACTGGTGGAGTCTGATGTGATGGGCACATCCACGTCCACCTCCAGTGCCCTGCTCACTGCCTTCTGTGAGGGCAGGGGCTGGGTCTTGTTCTCACTGGGTCTTAGAACAGTGCCTGGCATAGAGCAGTCCTCAGCACTTGCCTGCAGACTGTTTGAATCCTCACCACCCCTACAAAGAAACTGAGGCTCCGAGAGCTTAGTTTGTACAAGGTCTCACAGCTGGAACACAGTCCAGCTTAGACTCTACTGAATGGTCTGACCCCAGCACCCCTTTCACTGTACACCAGGCTCCTGGGGCCATACCAACAGTGTGGGATAAAGGAGGCTTCATGATATTTTCTTTCCTAAATAAAAACCTCTCAGAGTTCTTCTACATTCAGTTTACATCCTTTGATCCTGACTGGGGAGAAGCTAAGCTACTGGGGTCAGGTGTGGGGAGAGGTAGACCTTCTTGGGAATTCACCTGGGTTGCATATAAAGCATAGCTCCTGCCAATTCTGAAAACATGGCTCTAGGGAAAGGTCACTGACAGCCTGCGGGGGCCTGCCCGAGCCAGCGGTGCTGGGCCCTGCCGCAGCCTCAGGTAACTATTCCTTCTTAAGTATATTCCTTTCCCTGGTGGCGAGGGCCTCACTCAAGGTCAGCCTTTGCTTCTAAAGCAGGTGCAAAGGCAGACTAGCCCTAGCTCTCACAGCTAAAAAAGAAAGGCATGTGCATTAACTGAGCACCTACTGTGTTCTGGGCATGGTACCAAGTGCTTTTCTGCCTCACTTTATGCTGGCCGGTGGCACAGGCCTCTCAGGAAAGTGTTAGCTCCAAGGGTGTCTATTCAAAGGGGGCCTTGAGATCCAGTCCTGGTCACTCCCCCGTCCCAGCCTTGAGTGGGAAGAGAAGGAATGGTACTAGCAGATGTCCCTGAGCTTGGCCATTAGCTCGCCACTTCACCCTCTGCTTACGGGTTACAACACGACAGATCCACTGAGGACAATTCTAGTTTTGGGGACCAGGTCTGCGTGTGCGCGTGATGTGCCCAAGTGCGCACGGATGACCCCGTTGTGTTCACAGTGCTCATTCCTGAGGACTGAACGTGCACATGGCTGTACTGGCCAGAGCAATAACCAGCAGCCATTTCGTTCTGAGAGATCAAAGCTCTGCTCATAACGGGGCCTAAGGATGGGTCCCGGGTGGGCGAGGGGAGCAGGTGCAGTGCATGACTGACCCAAGGGTGACTTTCAGTGTTTGCACCTCCTCCTCAGGGTTCTTGGCAATAAAATGTGTCCCAAAGAGGGAGCTGAGGCTGACCCGCCTCCCAGCTGGAGTGAGACGTGAATGCTCACTGCAGAGTCACAGGGGCTGCTCCCCCACCAGCCCCGTTTCTGTCCTTGAAGGGAGGAGCAGAAGGTGGACTTCCTGGGACTTCTGCCCTGTGCTATAGTCTGGGGTCAACTGGGAAGTGACCTGCATTAGCTCTGCTTGGTGAGAGCTTTGCTAGGGCTCCCGTTTTTCTGGGCCTAAGCTTGGGAGATCTGGGATGGGTGGATCTGGGGTGGGGGGGTGTGCTTCTCTTTGCCCCTTAGTCCTACTGATCCTAGGGCAGCACTCACCACAGTGGCCGAACTGTTTTTTGCTGCCCGTCTCCCCCTCACTCCCGAGCACTGAGGCAGGGGCTGTGTCTGTTCTGCCTGTGTCCCCTCTGCCCTGCCTGCACTGAACCACGCTCTCCTCGTTTGCCTCCTACTCTCTGGCAACTCCCTCTCTGGGTCTTTGCAGAGAGGTTGCAAGGCTCTTCTCTGCTTACCAGACTCTCACCGGGGAGAGATCTCGTCCATTTCTGTGGTTTCTGTTACTGTCTCCATGCTGAAGCACTCCCGAGTCTACTTCTGGCTCAGACCTCTCTTGCACTTCGGACAAGCAACTTCCTGGACATCTCCATCTGGCTGTATCCCAGGCATTTCATTTTCAATACTCCCAAACCTTAGCTCCTCACCTTCCTCAATCTGTTGCTCACCCCGCTATGTTCCCTGCCTCAGCTGATAGCAGCAGAATCCATGGGTCACCAGACCAGAGACGCATCCGCTGGTCACCCTTGTCCCCTCCCTGTCTCCTCACTTGGGAGTTCTCTCTATCCAATGGCCCTGCTGTAGAGCAGGTCTCCTCAGCCCTCACTTGGACCCTTTAACAGTCTCATCGCTGGTCCCTCTTCTTCCTTCTAGTCCATTTGCTCACTGCTGCCTATAGGAGCTTTATAAAAGGAAAACTTGATCACGCTTTTCTCTTGCCTTTTCTCTTTGAAGGCTTCTTACTCTCCAGCAAATAAATCCACACTCCTTTGCCTAGCATTCTAATCTGCCCCTGTCTCTCTCACCCATCTACCTCCACCATTCTGTTCTCACCTTCCCCCTGCAGTTGGGCAGTTACTGAAAGGCTGTAGTCCTCCGGATGGAGCAGGCTGCCTCACGCCTCTCTGCACCTGCACATGAGGTGTCTACTGCCAACCCTATGAATTAAGTTAGTCGACGGGGTGTTTCTCCTGGTGCTGTGGGCTCTGAGAATGCCTGGAGAGAGACTAGGTGTCTGGGGGTTTTATTTAAGCTGTGGGCTCTAGAACTAGAGTGCCTAAAACCCTCAATTTCCTCTTCCCAACTGTGTGACCATGGATGAATCAGTTATCTCACTTTAACTCAGTTTCTACATTTGTCACACTAAGGCAGTAATAACGACTATCTTCATATGGTTATTGGGAAGATCAAAGGAGTTGATAAAATAGTGCCTTGCACATAACAAAAATGTCAACTTTATCGCATCTCCTTTCTACCTGATAGGCAGGGAGCTCCCAGAGGGCAGGTTTGGGTCTGGTCCATAAGCTATGTACCTGAATCCCATTAACAGTCTAGAATGGAGTGGGGGGAGTCTCAGAGCACAGGTGCGGGAACAGAATATGTGACCTTTGAAGGACTGGCCTTCATTCCTCAGTAGGAGTTCTCAGGATAGGGAGCAGATAAGAGCCTAGGAAGAGGGCAATAAAACTGGGGCAGCCAAGGATGCTGGGCTCAGAGAGGAAGGCAGTGAGTGGGCAGCTGTGGGGACATTTGGATCTGACTCTGGCTGGCTTGGTACCTGGTGTGCCGTTTGGTCCAAGGGTATCCATTCCTGTATCTCATCAGTACACCTGTGATGTTTCGGGAAGCAAACCCCTTTCCATTTTCCCAGGGCTGGATGGGGCTGAGTGGAAAGGCGGGCTGGACTCAGTCTGCCCGTGTGCTGGCTAATACAGCTTCTGCATGGGAGCAGAAGGGAGGCCTCACCTGGAACAGGTGGATGTCAGCCCCTTCCCTGACAGTAAGCTCTCCCTCCCCTTCTCAAGATAAGGAGAGGTACAGAGGGGAGACCTGGGCTCTGGGACCACATGTATCTTGAGACCATTTCTGGCTCCTCTGTACAGTAGCTCTGTCGCCTTGGGCAAGTCATTTACAACCTCTTGTTTCTACATCTGTTAGAAAAGGTTTCTACCTTGCCTGGCTATTGTGATCATTAGCAATAATGTCTGTAAAGTCTTTAGCACAAGCCTACTATATAGACTGTGCTGAATAAAAGGAAGCTGTTCTCATCTAGAGCTCACTTGGTCAGTTAAGAGGGAGACTGTTCTTGTTTGTGATGAGCCAGGAGCCGTTCAGGAGAAGCGTGCTCCATAAGCCAGGGCACCACCATTCCATCATCACTGCCATGGTCACAGACAGCACATTACTAACATTTTAAAGAACTGGTGAAGATGACGGAAGGAAGAAGCAGGAGTCGTCTGAGTCAGAAAGATTCTTGGAGCTTACTGGATCCAGCCTCCCTGTTTTTCACATAAGGTTCCTAGAGATGGAGCAGAGCTGGAACTAACTAAAATTCGGGTCTCACTCTCTCCTAGCACTTCTGCCCCATTCTGTCTCTTTAAAAAGGACCCTGGGCAGCCACAACATTTCAACTTTTGGGCCGTGCTTGTTTTTCCTGGAGTGCCCAGTCTGGGCCCTGGTCCAGAGAAGGGGTGAAGCCACATCTGCTAACTGACTGAATGTATACATGAGGAAGCAGGAACTTGACAAACTACTGACTTCAGGCCCACAGGTCCTGCTGCTCATAGCTCCCTCATACCTACAGGTGTCCCCCACCCAAACCCAGCCCAAACTGATTCTCACCTCATCGAACAGCTGCAGCATGATGGTGAGTACATCTGGGTGGGCTTTGTCTACCTCATCAAAGAGCACCACGGCATTGGGGCACTGCTTCAGCTTCTTGGTCAGCTGGCCACCCTCCTCGTGGCCAATGTAGCCTGGTGGGGACCCGATGAACTTGGCCACCTGGTGGAAGAAAAGAATTAAGTTAGGAAGGCCTTTCCATTCTTTCAGTTTCCAATATGGGGCATGCACGATAAGCTGGCTTTGTATACTGTTAAGACTGCCTGTTTCAACAAGGTGAGGTTATCTCTTGGGGTGGAAGGAATCCTGCTGTGATAGGAGAGCAGATGGATCTCTTCTGTGTTTATTCTTCAGAGCAAATCCTATGCAAAAGAGATCAGGGACCCCACTGCATACATATGTCCCAAAAGGACAAATTCCAAGGCTGCTGTAATTATCTCAGGCCTGAATGACAAGTCACATCAAAATACCCAGGCAGAGTCATGTTGAAAGGCTCTCCAAACCACACTTCACCAAGGACTCTCACTTACCTCATGCCGCTCCTGGAACTCAGACATGTCTAGCCTGATGAAACCCTGTGTGGAAACAAGCAGGAGTCCATTTGAAGGCAGGAAGGCAGAAGGAAGGGCTAAGGAAGAGAGCACCTCAAATATCTTCCAGGCCTTCAAGCCACACACCAAGCCAATATTTTCTATCCCATTCTCATGACACAGTGTTTTCTGGCTCCCTGTCTCCTTTTCTGCCCACTCATCCCCTAAATGATTCCCTCACTCCCTACCTTAATAAACCCAGGTCACGTCCCTGCCCTTAAAATGGCACGGAAAGTCTCCTTTTTCAGGCTTCTACCAGGCCTGAGCACCACATCATCCACTTATCACACATTTCCTGAGGGGGTTCTGTGTGTGCTGAGCACTGGAGCTACGTCTGTCCTCCAGGAGCACCGGAGCAGGACAGGCTGACATAGACAGTCAGCCACCACCAGCGTGGACCATGACGAGATGGAGGGGAGCAACAAACAACCAGACAGCTCCACGGTGCCCTCCACTCTGCATGTCTACATGGGCACAAGTCCCTTTGTTTTATTTTTCAGAGTGTAGTTGATTTGCAAAGCTGTTAGTTTCAAGGGTACCGCAAAATGATTCAGTTATACCTACACACAAACACATATATATATTCTTTTTCAGATTCTTTCCCATTAGAGGTTATTACAAGATATTGAATACCCTGTGCTATACAGTAGGTCCTTGTTGTTTATCTTTTTTATACATAGTATATATCTGTTAATTCCAAACTGTTAATTTATCCCCTCACCATTTCCCCTTCAGTAACTACAAGTTTCTTTCCTGTCTGTGACTCTATTTCTATTGTGTAAATAAGTTCATTTGTATCACTTTTTAGGCTGCCCATATAAATGACGTCACATGATTTTTGTCTTTCTCTGACTTACTTTACATAGTTTGATAATTTCTAGGTCCATCCATGTTGCTGCAAATGGCATTATTTCACTCTTTTGATGGCTTAATAATATTCCATTACACCACACCCACACCCACACACATACTACATCTTCTTTACCATGTCCTGACTATTGTGAACAGTGCTGCTGTGAACACTGGGGTGCATGTATCTTTTTGAATTAGAATTTTCATCATCTCCAGATATATGCCCAGGAGTAGGACTGCTGGATTATATAACTCTAGTGTTTTTTTTTTTTAAAGACTCTCCATACTGTTTTCCAGAGTGGTTGCACGAAATTACATCACCAACAAAGGAGGGTTCCCTTTTCTCTACACCCTAGTTTATTTTTCTTTTAAACTAATAAATCTGATTTATTTACACATTTTCACATCATTTAAGAGCTCTCCACAACATTGCTTGCAGCCCTTCTCTCTCCATGGTTGGGCCTAGGGGTGATTTCCAGGGAGGTGGCCTCCTGGGTGAGGCCCTACCATAATTAGCCCCAGGGACAGAACACTGCCTAGAGCGGGATTTGTGAGTTAACACAAGAATGCCCACTCCTTTTCATGAAGAACTCAGGGACTTGGGGTGTTATAAGGGCATTCAGAGGTGCCCTGTCTCTCCACCCAGATAAGGGTTCCCCAGAGACTCCTCAGGCTCCTCTCCTACTGGCACCCACTGACTACATTTCTCCTGAGAGCTGAGGAACAGGGGGTGCCAAGACCTGAGAGGGAGGTATTAATGGCTATATCTGAAATGCAGGCCATAGTCTAGTTCAGCTGCTGGTCAGAAATTCAGTCTGTGAAGTATTCTAGTTTTCTCTGTCCTGTCAGTCTGCACCTGAGGTCCAGGGTGGCAGAAAGCCCTGGACTCAGCTTCCCACCCCAATTCTCCACTGTCTGTGGCTTTGACCAGGCTGCCTCCCCTTTTAGAGCTGCTGCTGCTTCGCCCTACATCCTCTCCCTGTTTTACCTGAGGAGAGGCCCTAACCCAAGAGGTGGGAAAGACCCCGGAGAAGTTCTTAAGGCCACACGGGGTGATCACTGCTATCAAGCATGAAGCACTGGCCAGTAAGCATCTTCACAGGGCCCCAGGCAGCTCGGCCAAGAGAGACACAGGCTTCGGGGAGGGTAGGAAGACAGACATGGGGAAGCTGGGAGTGCTGCCCAAATGGAGCAATGGGCTGGAAGCCACGAGATGAGCATCTCATAACAGCTGACACTAACTGGGTGCTTACTATGTGCCTGGTGATGTTCTAAGCAAGCTATAAAGGGTAAGTCTAAGAGATAAGTACTATTACCATCCCCACCTTACAGATGAGAAGACTGAGTCATGGATTAAAGTAATTTGCCCAGGGTCTCAAACCGACAATCTGGCTCCAAGTCTGTGCTCTTAGCCTCTATACTCTATTGCCTCAAATTTCCCACTCCCTCAATCAGCTGGGCTTTTGGCATCTTCATCTTAAGGGTTCTGAGTTTTGTGCCCAGAACCAGGGTCAGTCACTGTCCTATAACAGGGAGTATAGACTTCAGTGATTACTTACTCTTATGTCAAGTTACTAAGTCCTTCTACTGATTTGCTAAGTAACTCTGAACAAATCTCAGGGCTTGATTTTCTTAGCTGGAATACTTTTGGTTTCACATGATCTTAGCTGAGGGTTATCTAGACGTGAGGCAACAATAATAACAACAGTATCCAACATGTATTGACTGCTTACTAATGTGCCAAGAATAGTGTACAGCATTTTACATCATTATCTCACTTAACCTTCATGATAATCCAGTGAGATAGGTACCATTATTGAACCCATTTTACAGATGAGGAAATGGATATAAACAGAGATCTCAGCCAACTCCACAGAGTAGTTTACAGCTGAACTCAGATCCCTGCTCTTCTTGATCCCTTCATTGTACTGATGCTATTAACTGTGGTCTTTAGGGCTCCACCACTCTACCTCAGGATGAAATCACAGGATGCCGTTAAGGCTTTTTTCTCAAGGATTATTAACTCTAATAATGGAAGTTAACAAAGCTGCTCAATTTGGGAAAAACAGTGGAGGTTAAAGAGAGGAAAAAAAAAAAAAGCTCATAGGAGGTCTGATAAAGAAATTATAAAAATGTGCAAACAGGGATTTCTCTGGCAGTCCAGTGGTTAAGACTTCATGTATCCACTGCAGGGGGGCATGGGATCAATTCCTGGTCAGGGAACAAATATCCCATATGCTGTGTGGTGTTGCCAAAATAAGAAAAAAGTTCAAACAAATCTTTGTGAGGTAGCCAAGTCTGGAGGTATCAGTGACGCTCTTCAAATGAGGAAACTAAGGTACAGAAAGCCAGAGCTTGAATTCAAGTCACCGACTCCCAGGCCAGTGCTTGTTCATTGAGTGAGCCCTCCTTTACACTGGGCCCTGTATATGACACTCCCCACACATTAGTCCTTGGATCCTGGCAACATCAGGTGTCCTGGTTAGACAGCTTACAGTTAAGAACCCTCAGATTATAAAGGCACGTCTCAAACATGCTTGTTACATGACCAGAGAATGTCTGTGCTAAACACAGATGTTGTAATGAACTGATCCACAGGGCTGGTGAAGGTAAGAGTTTTATTAAAGTACCAACTATGATTTAAAAATAAAATACATGGATGATTATATTGGGCTTCTCATGCTCCTCATCTCCCTATGTGACATGAGGACAAAAAGGACAAATTTATAATGTAGTCTTCTTTTGCAACAGAGACCAACGGTATTGAGAGAACAGTTGACAGATTGGATTCTCATTTTACTTCTTCCCCTAACAGGTGATCTTGGGCCCTTAACATTGCAGGGTCTCAAGTTTTCTCATCTGAAAAGTGATTCTAATTTGGCATTTAAGCTATTTTCCTTGTAAGATCAAATAAGACAGTAGATGGGAGTGCTGTGAAAGGATGGAGTGATGGATAAATATGAGACAAGGGATCAGGTACTTGATGGGTGTTAGAGCCTGAGCTTACTGTGATTCACAGTATCTCACTTGATGCGCACAATAACCTTAGACACAGGACTGATTAGCTTCACTTTGAGGCAACAGTTGAAACTTGGAGGGGTAAAGCAACCTGCCTACGGCCAGTAGAACCTGCGCCAAGGAATGGCTGACTCCAGAGCCTGGATCACCCAGCCCACTAACTCCAAGGGGAGAGGGTGGTACTTCCGTCTCCTAGGTGAGGCATGCACTGAAGGATGCCATTGTCAGCTTTCAGGACACCCTTCACAAGTTGAAATCTGCCTCTCGTTTAGATGCTCCAACTGAAAAAACACTTGCATCATCTATCTTTTATCAAGCCCTCTCTCCTTTCTACATCAGCAAGTCAGCAGATACTTTCCTTCTACTTCCACTGTTTATGAAGACATATTAGACAGCTTGGATAAGGAGATTATAATTTGTAATTAAATATTAACCTTTCTGACAGTATTAAAATTAAACCACTCAGAATTCTTCATCCCTAATCAGGTGGTTCCTGCCCGTAACTACATCTTCCCTAATAGTCGCACTAGTTTATGGCCCTTCCCAGAGTGCTAATTGTTTCAATCGCTGCCAACCTGATGAATTGTCCTAAAAACGCCATTTCGGTTGGCGTGCATTAGCATGCCGTGCACTGCTTCTTGCCTGCCTGCCTGTCGAGTGGGTCTGCCCTGGCTTTGGTTGAGGCAGCTCATAGCTACTGGCAGAGTCAGCAGAAGGGGCCATGGATGCAGCTCAGGAGGACATGGCCTCAGCTACCTTGTTTTCTGTGGCTGCCAGGCCCTAAGAGAGGTGGTTAAGGGGAAGCCAGGCCACAGCAGAACAGGAGTTGGCCAGGACTCTGTTGCTGGCAGAAATCTGGGCAGTTCCTTATTGCCTCAGCTGGGGAGGCTTTCCACAGAAATTAGGCAAGGGCACCCAGAGTCGTGGGCAACCTGCGATGCCTCCAGACTGGGAAGCTAGGAGGAAGAGAAATGTCTGGTTTTAAGTTGAAATGTTTCTGCAGTCTCCAAGGACTGCTAGGACATCTTTCTCTGTGTGAAATAATTTCTTGTCAGCCTTAGGAAGTCAAACTGAGCAGGTCTTGGAAAGCCAGAGTCTGAACAAGGGGATGGGCACTTGTGGGATGGAGTGGTGAGCTCTCCATGGCCTGCTAACTGCGCCTAGGTTCCAGCCCTTACCTTTTTGGCATCTTTATGCATATATTTGGCTGTCTGCTTGGCCAGTTCTGTTTTTCCTAGTAGAAGGAAAAGAGAAGTATTGGGTTAGGAGATGACTATCTCCTGGAATGAAAGAATATTAGAAATGCATGGATGCTGGAAATAATACATGTTATGGAAGGGAACACTGAGGCTCAGAAAGGGTGACTCTCAAAGTCACCAAGGGAAAACTGATAGTAAATCTGGGACCAGAATCAAAGCCTGCATTGTATCTTGATTTTTCTGTGGATGGGGACTGAAGCTTTTTCTCTACAGTAGCATCTAAAAGTGGGAGGTTGACTCATACAATCCAGAGTCATCTTGTTCTTTGAATCCCAGCACAAACCTTGCTTTTCCTAGAAGCACCTTGATTTCCTGGCTCATTGTACTGTCTCTCTCTGGACATCCATGGTCTCGCCATCCAAGCTAGGCCCTGGAGCCAGAGGCCAAACAGAGGTTAGGAGAGGATAGAAACCACCCCTCCCTGGCTTTACAGCTTTTCTTTGTAAAATAAAGAAAGGATGACGATACCAAAGTGATGACTCTGAAGGGCCATTTGGTTTGATGGTCAAGTCTTTGGAAGTCACTGCCTGTCTAGTATGGGTCAAGTTCTATGGTATAGTGTGAAGTGATGGTAACCCTTTGGGACCCTACATCAGAAGCAGCATCCATGAAGATACTGAGGGGGGAAGAGGAAGCAACAGATGCATGTTAATTCCCCATAAAGACAATGGGAGGGCAGTGATGATGGGACTATGAAGGTGGAGAGTGAGAGGGTGAGAACACTTCAGATAATCCAGCCCAACTGGCTATAAAAATCCTCAACCCATTTTACTGCAACCAGTTCTGCTATGCACTTAGCACTGTGCTGACCACCAGTGGCTTTCTTTAGCTTTCTAGAGGGTTCTGGCCCAGGCTACACTAGATAAGGCTGGTGCCCTGGGCAGTGGAAATGGTTCAATTATTCCTACAGGGCAGCCTCTGGGGTTGCAGAGTGGCTGGACCAGGACTAACAGGCCCCCAAGGGCCTGGCCCTCCTGGTGAATCAGGCCCTGCACCACAGCTTCCAGAGGGAGAGGCATAATTCCAGCTGTTCCAATGTGACAGATGATCCTCTGTAATCCTCTGCTGGCTCTGAAATTCGAAGGCAGTTGTTTTGGGAGCTGGAGTTGAACTAGAGGAGGGTCGTGTGACTCTGGCCCATAGCAGCTGGGGCTCCTCAGTTCTCCTCCCCATAGGCTGATCTACTCCCTGTTACCTATTCCAGATGATCCCAAGAAGAGGAAGACCAGGGGGTGTTCTTCGTCGTACCAGCCATTCTCCTTCCTCCGGATCGCTATGGCCAAACACACAAGACGGGAGGACAGGGAGGGAGGCAGATAAATCAATGACACAAAAGGCAGGATAATTATCACTAAGTATACAATATGTTTTACTGCTCTGCGCCCACTCAAAGTCCTCACTACCATTAGTGCTGCCTAATCTGATTAGCTGGCAAGGCCCCTAGAGACACCTAATCAGGTTAGCATGGATTTGGAAAGCTGCCCAGAGCAGATTTCGGATAAAGTTTTCCAGGATGAGCACTCAGCGTTGCCAGGGAAACTGAAAGGCTGGTGGATGGTGAATGGAGGTGAACGGGGTGGGGGCTGGTGAGGAGAATTGGAGAGGAACTTGGCTCTCGGCTGGTAACCCATCTACTCACAACTGGTTGGCGGCTGAGTCTGCCCCTATGCAAATGGCAGAGGTAGAAGCCCATGGCAGGGCCTCAGGGACTGGGGGTATGAGCTGTGAACTCTTTCCCATTTGGGGTAAGTAAGGTCTGCTGTTAGGAAATACAGCCAAATGCACTTTCTGGAAGCCAGTCAAGGGTACTGTGGAGCTAAGGGCAAGGAAAGGTGAGCCACTTGATAGCACCTCCACAAACCATGGCCTCCACTGGACAGACGTGCAGGAGGGGAACAGACATGTACCAAGTTCCTTGGGGCTCAGCTCTGCTACAGTAAGCGCTGACCTCGCCTCTCCAGGAGGAAATATATAATCCAGGGCTCTGCATGTCATACAGGGTGGGAGAACCAGGCTCAGAAGCATCACCCAAGTCTAAGAGTAAGGAGCAGAATGAGGCAGAACCATCCGAAGAATCATTTATTAAACATGTCATCTCCTAGGCCCAATGGAAAAATCACCAACATTTTATTACCCAAGACCCATACAGATAACCCTGAGTGGAAAATATTATTTTCAACTCCATCAGATTGAACAGGAATCTGAAACAAGAGATAAAGATATCTACCCAAGTCACATAACTAGTAGATTACCAGCTGACTGGTGGAGATGGTAGAGTTGCATTGCTAAACCTGTCTTCTATTTTGGTCACATATGGTTGCAAAAAGTGGGATTAATTTGGGTTGCATAAATGGAAACATGCAGTCAGAAGCAGGAAGGGGAGAGCACTGCACAATGTCAAGGTCGGCCTGCAGATGGAACAGCATATACGATCTGCTCCTCAGAGTGCTGAGGGGAGATGAGCAAGGGGATATATGTCGGAGGACAAGGCCTGGAAACCAAGTCAATGGAGTAGGAGTTGACAGTCTTAGGGAAGTGTCTTCAGTTTGAGGTGCAAAGATCCTACACACTATATACTGTGTGGTATGATCTGTGTGGCTGGGTTTCATAGAAGTGGCTGGAGAGGTCGGGGAAGGTTTTCAGAAGAAATGGAACTGATGACAGATCAGACTGGGCAGGATCTGGAGGGGCAGAGGTGGCAGCATGACAGAGGTGGGGGCGGGGGGGGGGGACAGGAATGAACATGAGTAGTTGTGGGCGGGATCAGACCACAGAGGTCTCGAATGCCTGTCTCAGGAGTTCAGGTCCACACTGCGGGCTTTCTCACCTCAATCTCTAATGCTTCTTCCTAAGATACTTTCTAGTTCTGGCCTCAGAAGAAACAGAAACTACAACCTCGTGAACACCAGACAAGCCACTCTGCCTGCCCGGGATTCTCTCCCTGAGATTTCTGAGAGGAGTCTGAGAAACCACTCAGTCTAACCTCTCCCTTGGGTTAGGCTCAGATCATCTCTAAACTGACTGGCTTGGTCCTCTCGAAGACTGGCCATGAGGGGAACCCACAGGCCTCGCAGGTACCCGAAGGCTAGACATGGGGACAAAGAAGCCCCAGCCTGGCGAGAGGGGAGGCCCCAGTGATCTGACAGAAGCAACACCCTGTGGGTGAGGGTGTTTGGGGAGGTAGAGACCTATAAAATGACAAAGGCTAGACTTCTGTGAATATATGTGTAGGATGTGTGCTGAGGTAACGGTGAGAATGGGGGTTTATCTGAAAGGAGTCACACTTTTCCAGAAGTTGGCTAAGTTGAGAATCTAGGTTTGAAAGAAGCTGGGCATAAACTGGATTCAGCTTTCATGGGGTTATCTGGGGAGGCCAAAGTACCCAGGCATCACTCAAATGGGGAGCCCGGGGAGAGAGGTTCCCCAGGTGCCATGAACCTGGGGTTCTGATCTTGACTTCTCTTTTACGAAGCTTCCCAGCCCACCAAGAGCTACATGCCTCTGGGCTAAGCAGTTCAAAAACACCATGGAGAACATGGAATTGGATTACGCCTGGGGCCATCTTTCCCCCCTTCTTTTCTAATAACGCACCTGGGAGAGAGCTCTTTATAATGCCAAGCAGACTCCACTGCACAGCTGTCCCTGGTCAATTCTGCCGGACTCAGGGCATGAGTCTGGGGTGGGCTCGATCTGGGCCCCCCGTGAAACAGGCAAAATGCCAACCATTAAACAATTACAACTCTGGATATTTCTAATAATATCTGAAGAGAAAAACGGCCAAGCAGATGGTGTCCGACAATGAAAAATGGAAGTAGCTAGGGAAGACTGAAGAAGGTGGGGCTCCGGGTGTGTGGTTGGCAGGGCGGCTGAGGGCTAAGGCTGGGAACCTTAGGGTCCTGTCAGGCTGGGGCAGAGGCTGGGACAGAGACCTGGCTGGGTCCATTTGGGATGTGGCCACAGATACTCGTGCTCTCACTGCGGACAAGCAAATGCAGCAACTTCCTCTGCTAGCACTTCAGAGCCTATAAAGAACTTCTGTAGACATAACTTCATTTGAGGCTGGTTACAAACCCACGAGTCAGGCAGGGCATGTAACTTGATTCCCATTTTACAGATGAGATCATAAATGTAAAGACATGAGGTGACCTGCTCAAGATTACGCAGGTAAATAATGAACCTGGGCTTTACCCCTCATGCTGACCAGCTCTTGAACTTGAACTGGTGATTCAGGAGTTTAGAGGGAGGAGTGGGCTGTTTCCCACACAGCACTTCCTCATTCTCTCACCTCACCTGGAAAGTTGCTCCTCTGCAGTCTTTCAGTCTGGCTGCCTCAGTCACCCCATACATGGTCTCAAGAGCCCCTGAGCAGGAAGCTTAGGCCACCTGGCCAGTCCCATCTCTGGGGCTCCAACAGGTTTGGCAGCCTCTCCATACGCTGGACCAGTGACAGGGTCCCCTTGCTGGGTTCTTCTGGCCATGTGGACCATGACCATTCATCCTACATCTCACCTGCAACAACTCTTCTGGCTTACTCCATATCACATCGTATCACATATCACCCCATGTTCATCGATGGGGTGGTGCGGTGGGGAGGGCAGGAGCTACAGGATCTAGTTTGGGGTCCCGGCTCTGTCACTTATTAGTTGACTTTGAGCAAAACACTTACTCCTTTAGAAGCTTGGTTTCTTCATCTCTAAAATGGGACTAGCCATACCTGCTCAGGTGGCCCCTCGTGAAGATTAAAATGAGTTAATGGTTATGAAAGTGATTTGTTAAGTTGCAAGAAAAAAAAAAGAAGAATAAGAATAAAAATAACGGTAGTCATAGCAGCAGTGGGGGCACAAGCCATTAGCTTTTTACAGAGATTTACATGCTATTTTACAGAGAGCCCTTTCATCCTTACAATACTTCAGAGAAGTAAGCATTATCTCTCCATGTTACAGAGGAAGAGGCTAGGTTCAGAGAGGGACAACGGGACGGTTTCATCTGTCTGCACCCTCATAACAGGGGGAGGGTAAGTCCTGATTTGATTGTGTATTTCGGGGGTGCATGTCTTAGGCCTATTTCCTGAGGGACTTTTGCAAAACACTGGTATAATATGTGCTGACTCAATGAATTAATTGTTAGTCTTCCTGGAATCACAAGGGGCAAAGAACAGATACTTCAGCTCCCATTTTACAGGGAAGAGTGATGCCTGGATCCAAGAGTCTCTTACGGCTCCAAGTGGTTACTATTACCCTTGGGTAAAGAAGGTTTCCATTCTCTTTTTAACTTCCCTCCAGGGAGCCTTACCCATTTGTTCAGCAAAAAAACTCTGTGTTGAGTGTTGGGGCACCTACAAAGAAACCGAAAACAGGTCTGCACCTCTTGGGTGAATACTGCTATGAAAACTGCGTGCCAAGTGGTATGGAGTACTATGAAAAGCATGGGAAACACCATTTGTTTCTGACTGTGACTTGGGGCTGAAGCACAAGGGGGAGATGGCTAGGCAGCCAGGATATGATGGCACATTCCAGGAGGAAAGCTCCGGTGTGTACAAAACTCAAGTGAAACAAAAGAACTGCCTCCTCCTCCCATGCCAGGCCTTTGCCTCCATCTAGCTCAAGGTTTTGGGGGAGTCTGGGTAGGCTGACTCATCTCTCCTGATAAGTTCTACTGATGCAGCAGATTTTTTTTTTAATCTAACCTGGAAAAGTCTGCCCCATGCTTGTGCCACCTCCTAGGGGAACCTATCCTTCAGAGGAATTCCACAGTTCAGTTACCTAAATGTCTATTAGTATCTTCTGTCTAAGCTTACAGGTTCAAGGGGGCATAGCTCAGCAAGTGCCTGCTTCTGGCACCCTGGGTTTGGTGGATGATAAGAGAAAAGCTCTCTTTTTAGTCCGTCAGGAGTATTTTTTCTGAAGGCAAACTATTGCTACCGAGGAGTTAACGTACTAAAATTGCAAATAGCTTTTGTTGAGCCCACCCACTGTGTGTGAGCGCCTAGCAGGCTATGGTTAGGTTAAGGTTAGGGACCACTGGAGGGAAGACTGACACTCTTCCAGAAAGAGGTTGAAATCAGAATCTGTGCTCAGGAGAGGCAGAACCTCAAGATGTGTTTAGACTTTGTTCATCTGAGTTTACTTGGGTTCAACAACCTTTTACATACCTGCGTGCCAACTCTGGGGAAACAGACCTGAAAGAGAGGTAGTTTCTGACTTTTGCAGGGAGAAAGACATACAAACTGACGCTACGTGGTAAGTGTGCAACAAAAAAAAGTGTCCACAGGAAGCGCACAGAAAGGCCCTGCACCAGGCGGAGAGTTAAGGAAAGCTTCCTGGATAAGGCATGGGTCAGGTCCTGGCAGGCGAGCAGAAGGGCAGAGCAGTCCAGACAATAAGAAGAGCAGGGGCACGGAGGGACTCCTGAAGTGGGGAGGTGGAACTTAAGAAGTTTTCTAAATTAAAAAAAAAAAACAAAACCAATAAGTTTTCTAAATTAATCACTACCTCTCTACAACTCAGGGATGATCTGGATCTATTTCTCAGATTACAAACAGGACTCCAAGGGAGGGTCCAGAAAGCTAGCTGCAGCACTCAGGAAGATTACATTTCTGGATTAGTCAAAGAGGGAGGTGGAGTATGAGATAGGATGGTGTACCAACTGTGTGTATATGGGTGATATTAAGGTTCTGAATTCGGGTCAGACCCAGGCTTAGAAGAGTGGTCATGGTGGTAGAGCTTCCCTGGGGAGTTCATAGGCTTCAGAGTCAATGGGGACCAGATGCAATGGGCTTCGGGCATAGGCCTCTGGTCAGAGGGAGCCACTGGGAAGCCTCCATGGGTGCAGGTTGCCCAGAAGAGGCTTCTTGGAGCAGGTCTGGGGAATGGGATATCCCCTCAAAGGGTCAAAGGCTGACTAGCACGGGTGTTGTAAACAACGATTTTTGCTACACTCACATTCTTAGTGTGCTTGTGAACAACTAGGAAGCAGGCTTAACAGCTTCTCTTCTTTCCTCAGAGCACATCACAGAGATGGACAAGGGGCCATAACCAAAGTAATTAATGTGACAAACTGCACTAAGCATCTACCGAGATTGGAGGGCTGTGCCAGGAACTGGGAAAACAAAAATGATTCAGTCAGGGTTTCTGCCCTCAGGAGTCTATTGCTCCTGAAATATAAAAACTAGCCCGAGGGTGGGAGACGGGCAGGGCTAGGGTGGGGAAGGGGCCAGAAGAAAGGACGTTTCAAGCAGAGAGGGCAGCATCCACAAATATAGGCGGGAGATCAACGCAGCATGTGCAGGGCGGCAGAAGTAGCCATTGTGTGCAGTCGGGGCGAGGGGGACAGCTGGGGAAGTGGGGCAGGGCAGCAGGGGTGGGCCCTAATGCCAGGCCAGGGCAGTCACTCAAGAATTTTACACAGGGTTTTTTGTTTTGTTTTTACAGTGTACAAAGCTGACTCCAGCTAGGGGGAACTGATTATAGGGGAAGAAAAGGAGGCAGAGATACCAACAAGGAGACCACCATGAGGTTCGGACAGGAGACACTGAGGTCCTGAGCTGGAGGCCCTTGGTGGTATTAGGAATGGAGGGGAGAGGCTAGGTGTGAGATCTGTTTAAGAGGTAGAATGATAAAACTTGAAGGGCTGTAAGGGGAAGGAAGGGCCAAGGAAACATCTAAGCTTCTACTCAGGAGAAGAGGGAATGGTGGGGCCTTTACTGAGACAGGACCATGGGAGGTGAAGGGGTGGAGGAGGGGAGCAGAGTCTAGACCTGAACAGACAGCTAGCTGCCTTTCTGAGGATGGTGGGCACAGAGGCTCTGAGCTCCCACTAGAACAGGCATCCTCCCCTTCCCCATGATCAAGAACAGCTCAGGATTCTGGAAGGAGAACCTCACACTCGATGTCAGTGCTCTGGCTTGTGGTCTGCACGTTGGCCCTGCTTTGGCTCCAGTGACCCGAGAAGACCAGAGAGGCCATGGGGACCTGGGCTATGGGGTCGGTGCTTCATCTCCTCCATTTGTAAGGCCGTAACTGTGCGCCAGCCTTGCTAGAAGCCCTGCAGCTGGGGATCACACTGATAAATTCACTGTATTACTTTGCACAAATCAATATCCCAGCACTTACCAGGGGTTGATGTGACCGAAATTGGTTTCAGCCAATTCGTGAGGGTAATAAATGGCCATTTATCAAATCAATTCATTCTGAGGCACTTCTTTGGCTGCCCACCCTCATGCTACCTCTGGGGTGCCAGGATCCACCCAGCCAGCACACATCTGACACTAGCTGAGAGGACCCAGGGAGCACCCTGGACTGCCCTCTAGATCTGCCCCGCTGTCCTGCACCTGCTTCAGTCCTAAGGCCCTGCCACAGATTCCGACCCAGAGAGTGCCTCATGCTCACGGGAGCTGGAAGCTGAACACACTCTGAATGTTATAAGTGTGATCCCTGGCGGCAGGGCTCCTAGCAAGGTGGGCCCTTACAAATGGAAGGGAATGTACTAACCCCACAGCCCAGGCCCCCACGCCCTCTGCGTCTTGCCCAGCAGCACTGGAGGCATAGCAGGGTCACCCTACACACCACAGGACAAGGAGCAGAGCATTTCAGATCTGAGGCAGAGGGTGGGTGACAGACGGAGCTATGGGTAGGACAAGGCACTTGGCAGACATTCTGACAGCCCTAAGGAGGTGGGGAGTGGAACCCTCTACTGCGCCGGGTTGGCGGCAGGGAGAGACAAGAAGGACCAGGAGAAGAGGCCAGTCTGGGGCTGGGAATAGGGATCAGTCTCAGATTGAAGGAAACAATTGTGGGCCTGACCTATGGAGCACAGTGCCCAACGCTGGATAGTAAACATCTAGAGGAGGGGGACTGGGTTTTATTGAGAACTGTCTGGTACATACTAGAAACAGCATATGCCTTACAGTTCTACAGTCCTGAGTTTGGATCCCTGGTACAAAGGTGAGGAAACTGATGCTCAAAGAAACTGAGTGACCAGCCTGAGTTGCATAGCTGATAAGTGGCCCACCTGCCATTTGAGCCCTGGTTGACTGAATTCTTCTCACTTTAATGTCCTCCTCCCTCCCCTAACTTCTGGGAGTCTCACAACTTATGGGCTTGAGAAGCTGGTGAGAAACAGGAGATGAGAGGAGTGGGCAACATGTGAGGAAACGACTGTATAAGAAGCGGAGGGTAAATATTATGATGGCAGCTATACTTCTGGCCCAAGTGGACATGAAACTCTAGTGGACCTGCTTCTCAGGCCTCGGCTCGGTCACTGATGTCTCCAATGGGTTCCTCCTCCTCTCGTCAACCCAAGAGATCCCAAGGTCTCCTCTCCTTTTACCTCAGGCATGGCCTTGACAAAGAAGTGGGGGGTTGCCACCTCCAAGCTGAGGGTGGCTGTCTGTATTCAGACCCAAAAGGGCAGCCTGATGAGATTTGGGCCTGAGTAGTGGGGACATGTGTCTTCATAGAAGCTTTCCCTGGCTCCTGGGTGTGCCTGCAGGTAGCCTCTGCCCTCCAGCTGCTGAGGCAGATCTGGTCTATGGGCTCCTTGTAACTGCTGATGGTCAGGTCATGACCTGAACATGAGTCCCACTGGTGTGTGAGGATGGAGACAGGCTGGGCCCAGTGTGACACAGGGTGTCACACTGTTCAATGACTCCTCTGGGACTTCACAATTTCAGCTTCATGTCTCCTTTTACAGGTGAGCAGAACTTGGTGCTGGGCGTGGCAGCTGCTGGGCTGCACCTGGTGGGATGAGAGGCAGCACTGGATGCACCTGACTAAGACATCACAGGGATGAGGCTTTTAAACCTGAGCCAGGCATCAGCTCACCTGAAGGGCCTCTCAGAATGTAGACTTCTGATCCATCGCCAGAGCTCCTGATCCCACAGGTCTGGGATCATATCTACATTCTAACAAGTTCCCAGAGAATGCTGATGCTGCTGGTCCAGCGACCACTTTGAGAATCACTGCCTTGGTTCTGCCACTCCCTTGTCTAAGCCAGAAATAGGGTTCCCTTGCCCTTGCCTCATCTGTCTTGAGGCTATCCTCAGGGAGTCATGCATGTCAGGAGAATAATGGTGAGGCCACCATACTGAGCACAACCCCAGTTTTCTCTCTCTCCACTGGGGAGTGCAGGGGCAGGAAGGTCAGGAGATGAGGGGTGACACCAGCAGGCAGTCTAGATTGCAAGGTGGCAGAAGCGCTTCTGAGGTGGAGAAGAAAGCACTCAAGACTTGTACAGGATGTTTTCCATAAAATTGAGCCAGCCTCCGACAAATTATATTGAAAGATGGCACAGTCCCCGCTGGGAGACAGGTGACCAAAGTTCTAGTTCTGGCTCAGTTATGACAATACTAGTGATGGGAAAGCTCTTGTTCCTCTCTGGGTCTCAGTTTCTCCACCTGCGAAGTGGGGATAGGGTGGGGTCAGTAGATCAGATGAAGGTCAGAGTTAAATTCAAAGCATGGAAAGAAGACTTGAGCAAGTTACTAAAGTGTTCTGCCTCAACTTCCTCATCTGTAACATGGGCATTCAATGGGACCAACCTCAAAGGACTGTTGTAAGGATTAAATGACATGGCATATGCAAAGAGCTTAGAACACTGCCTGGTACACAGGAAGTACTCCACAAATGCTATGCTGTAATAATAACAGCCCCTTCTCCTCAGCTTGGAGATGGCAGGACCACACCTCACTGCAGCAGACCACAAACTTCTAGGCCCTCTTCGGTGCCCATGTACTCACCTGCACCCACGGTGGCGATGGCGCTCTCTTGGCCAATGATGTGCTCCTTCAGCCGCTGCTCCAGGGGAAAGCGGCGCCGCTCCTCGGCCTCCCGCTTCCGCTGCTTCTCTTGGTACTGTGGAGAGAGACGAGAGATGGAAGGCGGCTCAGGAGTGCCGGACCCAGGAGGACCCTAGTTTCATTCTATCCCCCCAGCCCAGGGGGAAAAAGCAGAGGTCTGGGTCTCTGGGGGTTCTGATGGACAGCTCTGGCTCATTCTTTTCCCAGTCCCTCGTCTGAGTCCTCACCTCATTTCCCTACCTTGGTGGCCACTGCTCAGGGGTCCTGGCTTGCCCTGCTAGTAAAATAAGTACCGCTAGTATTGGGTTGGCCAATGATCCTTATGGTTTTTCCATAAGACCTTATGAACTTTTTTGCCAATTCAACAGATTAACTCTTGAGTCTGGAGTCTGACAGAAGACTTGGTTTGAATCCCAGCTTTCTCACTTATAAGATGTGATTACCTGGAGCAAGTTACTATGCTCAGTTTTCTCCTCTGTAAATTGGGGATTAAATATGATGCTGGATACAGCATCTAGCGCTATGACTGGTAAGCACTAAGTGCTTATAAATATCTAGGTTCCTTTCCTTTTCTGCTTAACCTCTTGAAAACCATTTTTGGTTTTCAAACCAGAGCTATGAACACCCTCCAAGTCAATGATACTGCACTTTTCAATTAAACACAACTACTCAGCAATTGCTATATTCCTGGCACTGTGCATGCCATAATGGAAAGGTGGGGAAGGGGCAAAGAGGAAGACTGGCCCCTGGCAGGCTTAGATCATGCTGAGTGCCTGGCAGGTGTCTGGCCTCTGGCTTGGTTCATTTCAGAAAAGACAGGAGCAGGAGGCTTGAGCTTTGTCCCACTGAAAGGGAGGGGAGAAGAGCCAGGTCTTGCCTTTAAAGAGCTCTAGGTCAGGCAAGGGAGGCGAGGCAGGGTCTGTATGTACATGAATACTTCTCAGGCAGGATCAGCCATTTCCCTTGTGGTTTTAAAGCATGTGTGCCTACATCTAGCCCTGTACCTATCACTGAAAATAGTTATTTCAAAATAAGTTTGCTGCATATTTGTGATTGTGTCTTACAATCAATTATGAGCCCCATTTTACTCACTGCTATTTCTGGCATGGGTCCTGGCACAGTGGAGGCAGCTGGTGAATGTTTACAAAAATGAAGTTGATGACAAATACAAAGAGGAATTAACAGCTAGATTGGTTGGTGTAGGAGTACAGAGAAGGGAAGGATACATAAAGCATAAAACATTTCTGGGAGATGAGAGGCTTGAAGGAGCTGGAGTACTGGGCTAGTTGGGAGCTGTGGGACTATTTGGAGGCTGGGTTGGGGGGTGAGTGCATGGGTCTGATGATAAAGCATCGATGGAGGCCAGGCGCTAGGGGCAGGAAGCAGGTCTTAAAGTAAGACAGAAAGACCCAGGTCTTCCGGGGGCTTCTCTTCCCTAGGGCTCCTGTAACACTGACAGCTTTCTAGAAAGCGAGCTGCCAAGGTAAGGCCTTGTCACAAAAGTGGTGGCTGCAGATTGCTCTTGCGGGCAGAGTGGATGAAAAATACCTGCTACTTGGGCAGTGTTTTCCTGTTATGGTAGTGACCTTGACAGAAGTTAAAAAAAATAAATAGCAAACAATCCAATTTTGGCTGTTGCTATCAGTCTGTAACTGAAAGCTCCCATCAGTCCTGGGGTTTCATATGGAGCAATAATTCGGCGCCGATCCCAGCGGAACGACGCTTGCCGGTTGGAATCCAGCACGTCACTGTGCAGCTCCCTCAGGCACCACATACATCACCTGGCTCTGCTGACTCCAGCCATATATCTGCCTCCTCCTCCTCCCTGTCCACCCAGCCCCTCTCAGCACTTGGGTCCACTTGGCTGAGAGGCTCCGATGAAGAGATGCGTACATGCAGGCCGGTACAGCACCAGCCAGCGGCCTGGCCCGCTTGCAGCCAGGCAGGATGCAGAAGGAACCTGGCCTCTGAGAGTTCGTGAGGTCGGTTTGTTAGGTCACTTCCCCTCAGGGATGGGTACTCCCACCTCTGGGCCTTTTGTTCACACTGCTCCCTCAGCACGTAAGTCTTCTCTATTCCCACCCACCTCTAAGTGATATCAGCTTAAGTACCAAATTGACTAAAAAGCCTGTTTCCCTGGCACCTCCAGAGCACTTATTTAACTGCCTGTTTCTGTCTCTTTACTCCACACATGAGGAAGTAGTGACAAAGACCATGCTCTATTCATCTCTGCAACTCCAGCACCCAGCACAGGGCCTGGCTCACAGAAGGATTCAATTTGTGTTGCGAAGTGAATGAGGTGACTGCCGTCTGTGAGATGGCTGCTATGTGCCAGGCATGGTACTCAGAACTTTCTGTGTAGTGTCTCACTGAATTCTTACAGCAGTCCCTATATGAAGTTTGACACCGTTCTGGCTTATAGTCAGGCACACCGTGTGGCAGAAAGAAGCCAGCTTTGCTCCAGAAAGACCTGAATTTAAACCTCACCTAATCTACTTGGGCTTCCCAGGTGGCTCAGTGGTAAAGAATCCACCTGCCAATGCAGGAGACACTGGTTTGATCCCTGGGTCGGGAAGATCCTCTGGAGAAGGGAATGGCAACCCACTCCAGTAATCTTGCCTGGGAAATCCCATGGACAGAGGAGCCTGGAGGGCTACAGTCCATGGGGTCAAAAAAGACTGGACATGACTTAGTGACTAAACAACAACAACAACAACAACAACAACAAATCTACTTAATAGTAAGCTCACCTTGGGGAGGTTAATTCAACTCCCTGAATTTCAGTTCCTCATCTCCAGCATGGCAATGGTACTCATACCTACCTCATAGGATCCTTGTGGGATGCTGGTGAGAATTAAGTGAGATGATGCATATGAAGCACTGGGCAGGTCTCTGGCACACAGCGAATGTATATGCAGAAGTAGCTGTGTGAGAGACTCAGAGGCCAACATAGTATCTGGCCTGTGTAGGCCTTTGATAAAACTTTGCTAACTTCTTCTTTACTGCATTTTGATAACTAATTTTCTAACCCAGTGCCTTTGTTTTTGTTTTGGTGCTAGAACTAATTTTATCTGCATGGAGCCCCACCGATAAGGGGAAGAAGTGCTCTGGCTTAAGCAGAAGCCAGGAGTCAAGTCCATTAGGATGCCCCCATGGACCCAGTGTGGTTCCTGAGGCTTCTCCCCAGGAACCCTGAGTCTGCCGGGCAGTCTCAACACCAACTGAGTTCTCAGGACACCTCCACTGCCTGGGGTGTCTTAGCTGTGCCTGTCAATTTTCCTTACATGGTAGAGAATTCCTCCTCTAGGTGCTTTCCACCCATCGGTTTGTGGGGCCTCACTAAACACACCTCTTTTTCCTTTGCTGCAGGCAAAGCTTAACAGAAGTTTCCCCACCACTCTGTTGGTTTGGGTACCACCATCATGGCCTCCCTGAGTCTTCTCCAGGGCAACATTTCTACCTTTTGTAACTCTTCTTCAGTGTCATGATTTTAGGTTATCTTAGTATTCTTATTATTTTCTTGAGCAATGGGAAAGGGTTCTGGACTTCTATGGGGGTGAGAATCAAGTTTCTCAGGAGCTCTCTAAATAGTACTGGGAAAGAGTCAACCTATGGCCTAAATTTGAGCACACCTTGATTCGAGTACAACCCCCTCTATGCCTGGAGCCCTATATAGCTCTTCAGAGAAACTTCTGAAACTGGACCAGACTTTTTATGCTTAGCACAGAGCTTACATTAAAAAAATATGTTGAGGACTTCCCTGGTGGTCCAGTGGTTAAGAATCTACCTTCCAATGCAGGGTACAAGGGTTTGCTCCCTGGTCTGGGAAGACTCCACATGCCAAGGGAAGCCTGTGCACCACAACAACTGAAGCCCATGCTCCACAACAAGAAAAGCCACCACAATGAGAAGCCCACACAAGCAATGAAGAGTAGCTCCCACTTGCTGCAACTAGAGAAAGCTCACATGCAGCAATGAAGACTCAGGCAGCCCCCACCCCCCAAAATGCTGAATGAATGAATGACTTTTTAATACTGTGAGCTATGAGTTCAGGTTTGTGGAGAGCTAACCAGTGGAGGAATCTAGGGAAGGAAACCACTTGGTCTGCATGTATTCTCTTTGGGAGGAGAGAGAAGGCCCTTGGTAAGGGTCCATGAATGTGGGCTACTGTTGCTCCTGGCTTCCTGAGGAAATGGGAAGGAAGGCTACAGGGAATGAGGTCAAGGCTCTGCTTTGACAGGGTTCCAGTAGAGGAGGGGACAGGGTAGGTGACCCAGCCTTCAGAAGCAGAGGACACTGGGTGGAGACACACTAGGAGGAAGCCACCAGGAGAGCAGGAGTGGAGAGTGATCATCTTCTTAATAAAAGCCACATGCAATTAGCTTCAGAAGCCCTCACCTGGAGCCAGCAGCGACCAGCTCCCTATGCTGCATCTTGGCTGGATAATCGCAGCCACTGGTTTTCATCATTCTTGATTTAATATGGCACCCCTCCTGGCTCTGAGTGCATTTACAGGAAAGGGCTGGGAGGCCTAGGCGAAGCCTAGCTGAGCTCTCGTTAGGAGGTGGGTGGCTGGGCAGAGCAGCTCTGTGGGTCACAGTTACAGGGAGAAGGGTATGGCAGCACCCCTGCTGCTGGGCATTACTCAGGAAATACATCTGATGATAAACCTGGCGATGTGTTCACTGAGAAGGGAGCTGGGACAGGGGTGGTTGGCAGAATGAGACCCTGGGGAAAAATAAGAGAAGTGTGGCAGAGGGAAGAAAAGAGAGGCCAAGATGCAGATTGCCTTCAGAGGGAGGTCAGGGCACAGAGGCCCCTGGCTTCTCACAGACTCAGATATGCCCCATCCTCCTGACTCCCTGGATCCACCCCAACTCACATCATAGGGCTTCTACCATGTGCTGAAGCTGGGGGAGGCAGAGAGGCCTGGGTGGGGAGGTAAACAAAGTGGGCAGAAGATGAGACTAGGGGGGCAGGTGTGGGATAATGGAAAGAGTCCTGAGAAGAGGGAGTGATGACAAGAGGAGCACAGGGGGTCCAACAAAGGAGGCT